CCACATTCCACTTCGATATTTAGTTCTTGCTTTTATTATAAACAAATTTACTAAACGATTTCGTAAACCAAAAGGTTATATTGATAATAATGAAATAGCTGATTTTCTATCACGATTACCTTCCGATCCTGAGCTTGTAAGCACTTTTAAATTCTTTTTTCTTGTATAAAAACAAAAAAAGAAACCAATCATTTCTTTTGTCTTTTTTAATTTAGTTACAATATCGAGAATTAAAAATTCTATCTCGTGTTCCAACACCAAAAAAGAATAAACGCACAACTCCAAATGGCAAATAACAAAAGCAAAAAAAAAAAAAAAGAATTATATTTTTATTTAAAAAATATTTCCATAGACGATTAATATTAACAATAATGGAAGTAGCGGATAGTTTGTGATAAAATATGATGACCACTCCATAAATAAGAGACATTTAAGATCAGATATAATGTTACTCTTTTTATTGTGTATACGGTGAATTGTCTTTCGCATAAAAAAAAAAACTAATATAAAATTAATTAGATATTTATTCCGGCAAATTTTTTTTTCTTCATGTTTTTGATTGATTTAGTTTGACAAATGAAAAGTGTTTTTTTTTGTCTATTCTCAACAGAGACTATAAAGCGATTTGTTGGCAACCATAATCTTAAAATATTTTTGCTAAAAATAGATGATATTCAAAGATAAATTAATTAGGTCTTTTATGTTTTTAATTAATAGAGATTCGTCCTTAAGGAGTATCATGAATTCTTTTTTCATAGGAATAAGCTTCTTTAGTTTTCTTGATTTGTTTTGCCCAAATGAGTATGTTATCGACATTGATTTATTTCGTCAATTATTATAATGATTGTTAATGGGGAATCTGGCGATAATGTTATGATTGGAATACAAAATAATACATTAAATGCATTATTTAAATTTGATTTTGAAGTCAAATAATCAGATGATTGATGATTTTATTAATGACCAGAAATGAATAAATGAAACATTTCGTTATAGAAATATTAATTGTGAAATAAGATGATATGGACTGATTAAAGAATTCATGTCACACTATCACTGGATATATAAAAGATACGCATGAGATAACAGAATCTACTTTTCACTTAAAAAGATGATAACAAAAGAAAGGAACAGAAAAAGCATTCCGGATAATTCAAATTAATCTTAATAAGAACAACATTGACATAGATTGTTAGCAGTCGTGTGTTTGTCTTATCCGATAAATTACAAACTGTCATTAGAAGATATATAATCATTTTAACGCTTTAATCTCGTTTTGAGAACAGTAATGTGTCAAATAATAAAAGAACAGAAGTATTCAATATCAGAATAGCTTATTTTCAATAATATTCAAACATATATACTTCAGTCGAATTTACTTCTATTGCAAAAGGTCCGCCTGTAATGATATTAGACGGTTATTCATACATTCGAGTTCGTCAAACCGACGAAAAAGCTTACAGATGTTGTGAAAATCCCCCCAAAAAAATGTAATTGTCATTATCGCATAGACATGTATAATTTTGCTACCCCACCCTACACATATGTTCATTGTTAAACATCATGATAGGTCATATAACAAATTATAAACGTGATGCAATCAAAATAGCACTAAGAAAATTCCATGAAAATCTCGTTGATCGTGAAAAACAATACAAAAGAGTCAATTGATATTGTTGTATCACAGTTACCCGATTGAGCATGTTTACATTCATCATTATTAGATTAGAATATCTTGATAAAACATATGAATACTTGTGACATTGTATGTATCAATACGATGATTGTTATTTCTTTTATCTTTTATTTGTTGTTAATTATTTATCGAAGCGAAAATTAGATTTTGTTATTTCGTGCGCATCTTTCAGTGTCACACTACTACTGATATACCGCAATGCTCATAAGAATCAATGGTAGTGTCTACGACTTTTGATTCCAGTTATTAACAATTGCAGAGAGTGTTTTGTGTCCGAACTCGAATTATTGATTAGAACGATACCAAATATAAAATTTCGATAAGAACTGTTTTCGTTGAAAACTACCTGGTAGCATTTAGATCATAATGGGCATGGCATAAAAAATGGAGTACCTTTAAATTTCATTTTATCATCACTTAATACATTGTATTTAAAAAACAAAATATACCAGAAGATGCAGCATGAAAAGCTCTACAATTTATAAAGGGTCACTTATTTTATAGCTGCACTTTTTGTTTTCAAAATAGACCAAATTCTGAGCGACCAAATTTCGACGTTGCGAAAACGAGATTGTTTTTTGGTAAAAGACGAATTCGGTTTTTTCCTATCTCATCTTTTTATAATTGTTCCTTGTAAATTGTAGAGCTTTTCACGCTGCATCTTCTGGTATATTTTGTTTCTTTAATACAACATATTAAATGATGATAAAATGAAATGCACAAGTGTCACACTCATTATGATCTAATGCTATCAACAAATTTTCAGCAAAAACAGTTCTTATTGAAATTTTATTATTATGATATTACTTGATGTATGATCAAATAACATAGAAAAATAGAGCATTCTTTTTTCTATGAGACTATATAGAGAGAAAGTTTTCTCAAGTCTTCTATACCAAATTAAGATGCGACCGCCACTACTTTTGGATTGTCCTAAGTATTTTTATTTTTCCTACAAATAAACCAAACTATGAACAAGTTTTACTAACTGATTTGCCTCTAACTAAAAATAGCTGTTTAATAAGAAAAATTAATGCAATAACTAAAATGAAGTTAATGTCGTAATTTAATAATTTTCCAAAATATCCTTCTAAGATACAAGCACAAAAATAACTAGTGTTTTTAACGTGAATTTCATACTAATTTCAATATCAATGTTTAAGAGATCTGAACAAAAATTTTCTGTGATTTTGCCATAAGTGTTCTGTTTGTCTATATAAAGATTCAACCATGGTGAGAATAAAATGCTGGTACACTCTTGAATTGTGTCAGATTCGGAACAAAACATTATGAAAACTTCAAAAATCCTTCCATTTATTACCGTTAAGATTTTACTTGTGATTGGTATAAAAATTTGTGTTGTGATCTAATGATTGACGCATCTTGAGCAAATCCTGAAAAAAATTGACTAAAGCCTTGATGAAACCTTTACATTCATCTTGGTCAGAATTCTGAATTGAATCACTTATAAATCTTGATAGGATTCTGACAACCAAAGTCTGAAAAAACTTTAAAGAAAACTTTCAAAACTCCAAGCTAGATCCTTATATTTTTCCTATCACGATTCTGATCATGATTGGTCTTGTCTTGTAAGAACTTTGATGAAAGCTTGACAAAATTAGGTGCGCTATTCCTTTCAAGATCCTGAATAGAATTGAGGGTGAATCCTACATTCTCAATTTAGAAAAAAATCTTATCAGGAACTTGAACAAACCCTGACAATGATCCTATTTAATCATGAAAAATCCTACAAACAGAAATCATTAGAATTCTATACAGGATCCTGAGTAGAAGTTGACAAAACTTTTGAGATCCAGAATCCTGATAGATTCTCTCAAGCCTTCTCGAGGAATGAAAAGGATTGAGATCAAAGAAATTGTATTATAAATAAAAATAGAACAACAGTACACATTTTTGTCTGAAAATATATGGCGAATTCTTATTTCAACAGGTGTTTTTTTTCTTTTTAATTGAGAGCTCAGTACCATACGAAGCCAATAAAAGTATACATAGATAGTTGTTATTGTTATCCAGATTTGTGTTTTTTTTAAATGAAAAATCAATCAATTCTGACATAGTATACAAAAAGTATTATTTGCATCCATGTTTTCACACTATTCTGAAGGAAAAATCAAAGAACACTATCATCACAAATTTATTTGATCAACGACACACAAAGTCTATGATATTCTTCTATGGTTTCGTTATTATGTTGTTATAATCTATATTCAATTGCAAAATTAGTTCATTTTTATATTCACTTCGATATATCGTTTTGAGAACATATTACAGCTATTTTCTCAAATATAAAATTTCGATTATTTCCCTATATTCAACTAAAAGAAACGCATAAATAGTTTGATATAATATATAATAAAGTAAACTCTCTTGGAAAATAAAAAACTATGACGTGGTTTTTGTTTAATCAATAAAACAGACATATACTTAGCTAGCATTGTCGGTTCTCTAACAATGTTTATCAAACAGAAAATAAATTAAATCAATTATATTTATGTGTAGTCATAATAATTTGAATTTTGTTTAAAATACAAAACTGATGAATACATTTTAAATTTCAATTAACGATCATCAATACAATGAAAACTTTGAAACATGATAGCAACATCCGATCTGATTACTGTTGCTGCTAAAACTCGTTTTCATTCAGGGGTGGCCCGACCGGGGGGGTGTCGGGGGTGGAACACCCCCCCAATCTTAGAAAAATTCTATTTTTTGCTCAGCAAAATCAAAAAATTTTCTTCCATTTGTCATGAAAAATAATGTTACACCCCCCAAAATTAAAAAATTCCACCTTTTACTGCAAAAAATTTCGCGACACCCCCCCATTGTTGGTTGACTCGGGCCATCCCTGTTTTCATTATATCTCGAAAAAAAAAACAAAGTTCTCACTTCAAAATCGTTATTTTGTGGAGCGAATTGAGAATAATGAGAACTTCATATTGAAATTTCGAAAAAAACGTTGATCATATAGAAATATGGAATTTCGTAACAACATTTGAAACGAAAGTCGTACGACTCTTCGATCTTTAGGTCATCGCAACACAAAATAGTGACTCGCTCGAATAGCAGGCCGAGCAAGTAAAAATACTCGCGAATGATTGCCAAAGAGTGTTTCGTATCATAATGACTAGATATGATATAATCTTTAACGTAAAACAATTGTTTGTAATGAAAAGACAAATCTAATGGTTTGTTTAACAAGAAAATAAATTACATGAAAAAAACTATTCAAGTTTATTTCTTCAATGTCTATATATGTCCGAATGATGAATATATATTCATATTAGATGAGACGTTTGTTTTTTAAAAATTCTTGACCTTTCTAAATAAAGAAACAAAAATAAATTTATGAAATCTAAATTAAATTTTTTCTTTTTGTTTTCTTACCGCTATTTGTCGTGCAATTTCATCTTCATTCTCTAATAGCTTTCCTTTAGCAAATTCTTGTTTAATTCTTGTTAAATAAAAATCAACATCTGTATATTTTAATGTTTGACTATATTTAAGTAAATCTCGATAAAGACGAAGAACTTCAAGTTGTCGTGTTGACATAATAAAAATATCTTAAAAAGAAAAAAAACAAAAACAAAAACAAAAAATTTTATTCTTTTAATTAACTAAACGGCCTTTTTTTATTAATTTCTTTTTTAATTTAGCTTTTTTATCATCTTTTCGTTTTTGTAAATTATCTTTACGCTTTTCTTGTCTTTCTTTAACACGTTTTTCTGTTTCAGATTTATTTTGTTGCCATTTTTTAGCTGATTGTTCACGACGTTTATTTTGTTTTTTAATTGTTTTACGTAATAATTGAATATTATCACGAATTTTTTCACCTTTAGCTTTTGCTAATGCTGTTTTCCAATGTTTAGAACGTAAAAGTTCTTTTCCTTGTTCAGGATTTTCTTCTTGTAAACGATTTAATTCATTTTGTTCAGATTCAACTTGTTTTAATGTATTTATTAATTGTTTTTGTTTGCTTTGAAATTTTTTAGATTTTTTCTTTTTTGATTTTGTATCAATTGAATCTTCAGTATTAAATTCAAATCGACCAAATGTTATTTGATTTGGAATTGTTGATGATTTTGAATTATGAGTGTCGTTTGAAGAAGAAGAAGTTGTTTTTGTCCATTCTTTTGTAGATATTCGAGCTTTTTTTTCACGCTCTTTAGATTTATCTTTTGTATGTTTACGTTTAACAGTATGATCAATTCCATTTTCTATAAAAGAAAATAATTAGATGAGAAAGAAGAAATTAAAAAAATAATAACCTGTTTGTTGTTGACGATGAGGCATTTTTTCATGAAGTTTTTTTAATAATTCTTCACGACTAATTGAAGTATCTGATTTTTGTTTATTATTATTAGTTGATGGATTATTTTCTAAATAAAGATTTATATATAGACTTATACGAAAATATATTCTTTTACTATGATGATGAGCAAGAAATCGATAGATTCCTGATGTTGTACGAATTGATTCAATACCAGCTACTTCTAATGATGATGTAGAAGTTTGTCCTTTGATTTTTTGTTGTTGTTTATTTCTTTTTAATGTTGATTCACGAAGAAATTTATCTTTAAGTTCATTATATGTTTGCAATTCATCTTGAGCAATATATGTTTCAGGTCGAATAAAATCGACTAATGAATGAAGAATTGTATTTAAATTTAGAAAATGTTCAATTTCTGGATGACGATGAATAGCATCATCTTGGGTTATATTAACATCAGATGTATTTATATCTGTATCAGTCATTATTAGAATCTAAATGCGATTTCGTGCTAGTAGTATATTTCACTCTGAAATATTATAAAAGAATCGTTTGTTTGATGATTGGTCAATATTTTTATTCAGTTTATTCCTCAATAGAAAAATCAAACAGTAGAGGACGCTCGAAAACTAATATTCATTCAAACTGTCGATGAACTCCGTTGTATCATAAATAACTTAAGCATAAAAGTAGCTAGTAATCTACAGTTTTCAGTATTCGAAAGAGAACAGATAACTTTATCAACGTATTGAAAAATCAAATAATCAAGCAGTGAACAGCTGTCAGTGATCATTTTGGAAACAATACTATTGGAAATTTTCTCATTACATGTTAACATCATTTGATAGAAAAAATCAAGGCTTCTCTAGGCAGTTCCATTGCCAAGTTATAAGCATTATTCTGAGACCCTCGAAATCGGCCAATTGATTACTGGTCAGTTTGAAATGAGTTGATATAGAAGATTTTGACACTGCTAACGCAAGTGGGAGTGATGTTTGTTTTCTGTTTTAAAACCACATGAGATAATCAACTTGGTATTATAAAAGTCCATTGTTACCGCGTAATACTCAATTAAAAGTGACGATTTTGTAATTTTGGTCTGACTTTTTCATGTTACTTTAAAAAAGAAAAAAACTATCGCCATTTATGTCAGCATGGTCAAAGCCTTCTTTATCAGCTCATTTTGAAATGATCAATGATCAATTAGGCGATTTCGAGGGTTTCAGAAGTATGCTTATAACTTGACAATGGATCTACTCAGAGAGGTTTTAATTTTCTCTATCAAATGACTAACTTAAATGTTAACATGTAATAGGAAAATTTTCAATGGTACCGTCTCCAAAATGGTTACTGACAGCTGACCACTGCTTGATTATTTGATTTTGACATAGATTGATAAAGTTATCTGTCCTCTTTTGAATATGAAAAAGTGCAAATCGCCAGCTACTTTTATATTTGAGTTATTTGCGACGAAATCAAGTCCCTTAACCGTTTGAATAGATATCAGAGCTCGACAGTTCAAAAAAAATGGAATCGAAAATGTTTTTACTGATGACTGAAGAGCTGTTCGAGTGTTCACCAATCTGAAGTCGAAGAGATTAATCAATAATTGCATAGCCCGAGGTCTGACATGATTTTTTATTTAGACACTTCGTTTTTTACAAAAATTTCTGTCATTTCTTCTTGAAAAATATGGTTTTTTCAGATAAAATAGAAGACTTTTTTCTCTATTGATGTTTTTTTTGTCTGCACATCTTAGAATTCTCGAACTAGCTTCATTGTAGTCCACGGTTTTTGTTTTTTGTTTGAAAGATCATGTCAAGATGTAGGGCATAACAGAGAGTGTTTTTTGAATTAAGCTTTGTTATTATTATAATTAGACCGGCATTTTTTGAGACATTGAACTTTTCTCTCTTTAAAAAGTGAGAATTTAAAAAAGAAGAGCTCTGTCATGCCTTGCATCCGAACATATTCTTTCGAACAAAAGAAAATTAAGTCTAAAGAATGAACGTCCAGAGAGGATTTTAGGTTGTCTAGTTGACGTTGGTTAGTTGAATATCTCCAAAAACCTGGTGATATGAGTGTGGAAATTTTGTCATACACTTTCCATTACAGTTCCAATATGTCCTGAAGATTTTATGAGATTTGAATGTAGATAGGTCAAGATTGATTATTGAGGAAGTCTTAAACCTCTTAGAAAAGCGAGTGTTTTCATGAAAGCAAATTTTGAGATAAATACATGGTTAGATATTTTGATACGTATGCTTTCATAATCAGTGCTCTCTAACAAAAAAAGGGCGCCATACTCAATCATTTAGAATTCTAGATTTCAGTACCATTTTCTAGAACCTTTTTAGGTTCCAGACGTTTTGGCTAGAACTTGAAAAGGTTCAGAAGCAATAAAACGTTCAGTAAGACACTTTTTTAAAAGGAATATAAGAATTTCCGGTAATTTCAGTTATTACCAAGAAATTACAAGGAAATTTCTTAAGCATTCATATGGATAAATGAAGTTATAAATGTGTAGAAATATAGAACTCTATCTATAAAACTTTCAAAATTTACGGTAATTTCTCAGTATTTTCTGAAATCTCACGCGACTTGAAGGTAGGGGCCTTCGAAATTTCCAGTAAAACAGCATAATATATTTATCATTAGTAATTGTTTAGAAATTTCAGTAGTTTCCAAAAATAACAAATAAATATTGAAATTTCTTGGTCATTTTTGAAATTTAATATTTAATTTCTTAGAATTTTTTGTTGATGTTTTAGTAATTTTCGAAGTTTCCCAGACAATGTTCTCTCACAAATTGGTAATTAGAGGATTTTCCTAGAAATTACCTTTTGATATGTTGGTAATTACAGAAATTTGCTTGACGTAACCTTCTCATAAGTTTGTAATTTCGAAAATCTAAATATATGTCATTGTCTTTTGTTGATATATCAGCAGCCATAATACTAAAAAAACCTAATGTTCATGCGAACCTAGTTAGAATGCCTAAATACTAACTTTAAACTAGACATCAATAATAAGAATTAGTTGTTCTTTATTTTCTTAGATCTTTGCAACATATTCTAATCTTCAGTTAATCAAATATATACTTTAATATATCTACTCTCATTATAATATCTACAAGAATTCTAAATGATTAAATATTTGTTTAAAAATCCTAAATACACGTAACATTCTTATAGAAAATGTTCGTATTACTACGCAAGATCTACATGGAATAATTCTACTATTTAATCTAGAAATAATTTAATGCTTACATTTGTTTAAAAGCGATCATAGAAGACATTTCTTTTTTATTTGTTTTTTGAAAAATTAAAATAATCATTATTTAAAATATTTTAAATTAATAAATTGAAATAAAATATCTTAAAAATTAATCGCTCAGTATGTCATCTATCGAAAAGCGACTTTAGAAGAATTTGGCTGGATATAGATATTTATCCAATGAAAATTAAATCAGACTAGAAATAACAGAACAGCTGTTTGTTCGGCCGTTTATAGCCATGAACTAATGATAACTGATCTAATTGATTTCTATATACGTTGTAGATTATTAACACAATGTTATCTAATATTGATGAAACATTTTTATTAAATTTAAAAAATGAATTTAATTCAAATTCATCATCAACATTTGTTTCTTCTGAGCTTTTACCCAGTTATTCACCAATTGAGACGCTTACTTCCGAACTTGATTGTTTACCGAATTTATCTCAAGGTAAAAAATTCGATTATTTTTTGTGTCATAGATTTGTCAATATTCATTTTAAGCTTTTTAGATCTTTCAATTCAATCATCAATACCAACTCATTTTGATATGACAAATCCAAATGATTGGGTTCTTGCTTATTCACTTATTAAAAATTCTGTTGTTCAAATTGAACGTACAACTAATGATGATCTATTACGTTTAACAAATAATAATCGTAATAAACTTTTAAGAAATTCTCCAATATCAAGTATAAATTTTGATGATATGCCACGAGTACGTGGACCAAAATCTACTCGTTTTACTTGTCCCATATGTGGTTTAATAACTGTATCAATGGAACGTTTACAAAGACATGTTAATCAACATGGACAAAAACTTCATTTAGAAACATATAAACCAGAACGAAAAGTATCGTCATTAATATGTGAAAAATGTAAAGCAACATTTTCATCTGCTTATGCTCTAAGAAAACATCAACGTGTACACACAAGAGGTTTGTTTTGTTTTTGAAATTTAATTATTAAACACAAAAGCAAAAAAAAACAATTTTTGTTTATCTTAATAGATAAACCATTTTCGTGTGATTTTTGTGGTTCAAAATTTTCACAGTGGGGAAATTTACGACATCATATTCAACGACATTTAGGTATTAGCCCTTATGCATGTCCATATTGTAAGAAGACATTTATTGCACCATGTAAACTTGAAGTTCATATTCGTGGTCATCTTGATGAACGACCATATGTTTGTGATCGATGTCAAGCAACATTTAGATGTAATGATGATTTACGTAAACATTTAATAATTCATGCTGATTATAAAGTAAGTTCATTTACACAATGAAAATCAAATTAATCATAGAAGATGTTCAGATTTCATGCGATATTCCACTGAAAAGATGAAAAATTCAATCTTTTTGAATTTGATATCTCGAGAAAAGACCATTCATTTTGACTGAGGTTTTTGAAAGATTCTATTGACTACAAGAGCTGTCTATGAACAAAGTTTTAGGTCGAAATTCTTTTATTCAGTTCTTTGCTTATAAATACTGTGCCAAAAGTTTAAAAAAACCAGTGTGATAGTCATAACTCCAAAAGGACACTACATGAAGAAGAATTCTTCTAGTTTCAACAGATCCTATGTAATGATTGAGGTTTCATCTCAAACGCAAGATACCACCTTGAGTGCTTCTCTCGTTAGAAATTTTGTCTCAGTTTTGTTTGAGAGTAGTTAGAGACTTTTTGAAAGACTTGAAAAATTGTTTTTAATGATGAGCCAACAGGTTTTTGTTTACCCTATAAATTCTTTTCGAACATGCTAAAAATTATCGGAGAGATCGGACACTTCTCGACAAAATGTGATATTGAACTAAACTGTAGTTTTTATCCAAGCATTGTTTCAAGAGCTCCTTTCAACATAAAACAGTTGTAGATGTTTCAAAAATGAGTATTTAGGAAAAACGAAAATCGAGGTATCTTGTCAAAAGACACAAAAAAATTTGAAATAGTGCATTTTGTAGGATAGTTTGTATAAATAAAGATCCACAATTTTAGTTTCGAATGAGAATAATGGAAATACAAAAAGTTTCCGCCTGAATTAATTTTTTTAGCCTTTTCAAAGATTATTGCATTACTCTGAAACAAAAACTGAGACAAAACTTCTGAGTCGATATTCAAACAGAGCACAAATTCATAGGTGATAACTTGTCAGAAATGCATTATAGAACTAAATCCCAACAGAATAAAAAGCAATCCTGTAATTAAAGAGCATAAGTTTTCGAAAATCCAAGGAATATTAACACCTGAATACTCAACTTGTGAGTAAAATACCACTCTTTTTTTTTTTAATAAAAATTACTGCTTTTTCTAGTAAAAAGCTATTCCAGAACGGAACGTCCGCTTTGGAGGAATGATGTGAATTTCCATCATGGAAGGCCATGGTCGTTTCTTCTAGGAGAGGGAGTATCTATTTGATTAGATTCTCATATGATTAGCATAAGTAGACCTTGATCAGAGGAAGAAATATTCAAGAAGATTCATAGTTATGTATCTTCCATTCGCCATATTGACGATACTTGATATTGAATGTTAAACATAATCAAATATTAGAAAAAAATGAAATTATTTCTGTTTTATTCGATATATCTCCGGAAGTGAGTAATCGTTTTAATTTAGCATTCAAGGATCTTTCGAATATGAAAAGATGCAATTCATCCGTAGAGTTTTCTCGAATATTTTGTCACATGTTGACTATCTAATAAAATACTGGAACTCCTGTAGTTGATTAAGGAACATCAATAGCAGAGATGGAACTGGTGCTGATCGTCAAAACACTAAACTAATTCAATTTCTAATTTATTTTATGAACTTTAAACTAAATAATCATTAGAGATAAATAGATTAATCATCGAACTAAAAAGAAAATGATATTTTTAGAACAAAATGTATCCGATCAAAATCAAATCTGTTCATTTAACAACAATGGATCTCAGAAATAATTCAGAAAACTCTCACAAATAAATCACTTATATCAATAACAAAATCGTATGCTTGTTTGACATTAATATATGAAATGAGATAATGAACAGAATGATGACATCTAATTCAATATATTATTATTCTATTATACTGTTGTTTTTTTGATGGAAACTCTCATATTGAGCATTATCAAAAAATCGTGCAAATTTCCCAGATCCATAGTATATGTTAGTCAATTACATGAGTTCACAGTAAAATAAACTTCCAGTATTTTAATCGATTAGCTGCCAGTAGATCGGCATTTACCGCTCAGACTAGTATCAATCGTCAAAACATCAGACCAATTCCATCTCTGATCTATAGACAAAAAGTCTCTTAGTCTCATCAGGGTCTATTTTTACTAATAGTACAAGTTTGTAACTTGCTGAATTGTTTCCTTGTTAGGTTTTGAGAGTAACATGTTCAATTAAACTCATTGATTAGAGAAATTTTTCTGACTTGAAATATGATGGTTTTTCAGAACTAGAGATGTGCGGAGCCGAGTTGTTTTCAGTTTCGATCCAGATTATTTTATATGTTGGGTCCTGACCTAGATAGGGAGATACAGCGTTCGTGTAAATACTGATAGTGAGTCATCGACATGGAGACCACCGAAGTATTGACTAAGCTGCAACACTGAGATATTAATTCTATCAAAATATTCTCTTTTTTGCTCTAGATCTAAAGAAAACTATTTCAGAATCGATTCGCATTAAAAATTTGAAAAAAGTCTTACATACTCGTGTTGTGATTACTTCAGCCGTTGTATATCATCTTTGTTGTTTTTGACCATCTCTCCCGAATTTTGCTTTGATTTATATAATTCATAATATAACTCTCTAAAAATTATAGAAAATCTAGCAAAAAATTTTTAGTTCCAATTCGAACGACTTTTTTTCTCATAGTCTCAGTCTCAATCCGATCTCGGTAAATGTTTATTTTTTTTTTTGGTCTTGATTCTTGCACATCTTTATATTCAGGACATATAATTCATTAAGTATGATAATAAATGCATGATATAAGATTTTTGATTCGTGACATTCATAAAACATTCGCTTATACAATAAGTATTTATTTATTTATTTATTTTTCTTTTAGCCATTTGTTTGTTGGATATGTTCAAAACCATTTTTTCATGCATCAAAATTACGTATGCATTTAAAAGAAAAACATGATACTGATGTAATTATAAGAAAAAAAGATGTATTAGAATCTGGTACAGAATATGAAATAACATTTGTTAATTCTGATGAACGAACAAAAGAAATTTTACCATCTATAGAAACATTATCAACAAATGATGAACAATCATCAACATTTTATGAAACAATACTTAATTCTAATGGAATTGAAGCACGAAAAATAACATTAGTTGATGAAACATGTGATGAACCAGTAACTAATTATCAATTATTGAATGAATTAACTGTTAATGATATTGAAACATTTGTAAAAAACAATCCATTTGTTTTATCTGATAATGAATTAAGAACTTGTAGTTCAGCAGGAGGAGGAGGAGGACATCATCAACATTTTGATGATTTAAAATTAATTGATTTTCCTGTTATGTGAAAAATAAAAACAAGGAAAATACTTTAGTCTTTTTGTTTTGGTTTTATTATTGCATCTATTAGAAGAAAAGAAAAGACAGAAGAAAAAAGAAACCTGAAAAAAAGTCCAGATGAATTTTTTTTTTTTTTTATTGTTTATTTTTTGTTTGTTCATATTTGTTCGATTTCAGTCTTTAATATCGTATTCTTTTTTTTATTTATATTGTTTCGTTTATCATGATGATCGATACGTGTTTTAACTCGTAATCGATGTCGTTTATTGTTTTTTGATTTATCATTTATTAATGATGAAACATTATTTGTAGTACGTCGAAACTAAATGAAAGAAACTTGATGAATCTCATTGAATTCTTTTGTTTTCTTTTTTTCAACTGACTAAATTTTTAATTATACATGGTAATAGACATTGAAGATATATATAACAAAAGATAATACTACCAATAAGAGTTCCGATTATGATCCAACGATGTTTTTGTTGACTTTTATTACTTGACCATGAGATTGTTGATTCCATTAGAATGAAGAAATATAACATTGTTTTGTTTTTCTAGCGCTTTTTTATTTATTTATTTATGTTTTAGATAATGTCTGAAATAAAAATAAGTTCTACCGGTTGGTTAGCTATTTATTTACGTAATGGTAATGTTGGTATGTTTGATTTAAATGATACAAGTTCATGGCAATATCTTCAAGTTGAATCGATTGAAAAACAATCAAAAGATGTTAATAATGATCTCAATTATCTTAATCGTAATTTGATAAAATTTAGTCCAAATGGAGAATTCTTAGTTGTAAATGGACAAAATGAACAATTGTATATATATATTCAATCAAATTTTGAAAAATCTGAAGTTTGGTGGAAATTACAAAGAATAATTTGTGTTAAAAATTTTATTTCTGCTATGGATTTAAATAATGAATTTCTACTTATTGCTGATAAAAGTGGTGATATTTATAAAATTGATTTATTATTTAATAATACTACCACTACTAATAATAATAATCTTATGATGACAGCTGAAAATTGTATTATGCGACATTTATCTATGTTACTTGATATTACTTTTATTCGTATAAATGATAAAAAATCATTTATATTAACAGCTGATCAATATGAAAAAATTCAATTAATTCAATATCCAAATACTTCTCATAGTGGAAAATATTGTCTTGGTCATACGGAATTTGTATCTCATATTAAATTAATTGATAATAATCATATACTTTCAGCATCAGGCGATGGTAAATATTTGTTTATTTTGTAAAAAACAAAAATTATTCGGTTTTTCTTTTTTAGGTACACTACGTCTATGGCATCTTCCTGATTGTATACCACTTGTTTTATTACATTCAAAAGCACTTACATTATCATCAAAACAAATTTTTTATACTCAATTGTATGATTCAAATAGTTCATTATCATTAGAAGATTATCAACAAGATACAATGTCACAAGAATCTTCATTAGATTTATCTTCAACATTAGATTATTCAATTTGGAAAATGGATGTTGCTTCTTATAATTCTATAAATTCAAATGTTTATATTGCTTTTTCTATTTATGCACATCGATTACATTCAATTTATTTAACAAGTTTATCAAATATAAAACAATTAATTAATGAACAACGTCAATTAATATTTGATATAAGTTATGGTACAATTATTGATTATTGTTTTCCATCAAAAGATATTTTATTTAATGATTATACAATATATTCAAAATGTAATTTATATATTTTATTTGACAGCTATGTAATACTTAATATTAATATTATTTCCATATTATTATCTGACCAAACAAAATTATTTGTAAAACCTAATCAAACAATTCAAGAAATTAATAATATATTAGCTAGTAGAGATATTCATTTAATGAATTATAATATAAAAACAGATGAAATTGTATTTCAACAATTATTTAAAAATTCTAATAATAATTCGTGTCATAAACGTAAACTTGAAATAGTTGAACAACAACAACAACAACAACAACAAATAAAAAAACAAATGTTATCATCACAAAGTGATAATGAAATTCAACTGACTTAGAGAAAGTTTGCAGTCTAATCACATGATTTCTTTTTTATCATGTCTACACCATACTGAATGGACTTTGTAATTTGTTTCTTTACGTCCTTTATGGGGGTGTGTATGTGTGGTATGGTTGTAATTTTTTTTTGTTCTGTACGCGTTATTGTAGCGACGTATCGCGCATTAGCCGCGTAAGTTTTTTTGTTATTATTTGTAATATGTCAATGTCGATATAATACATCGCGAAAAAAAAATTGTTTATATTTTTTTTTAATATTTTTAGATGATGAATTCTCCGTTACTTAATGCAGGTTGTCGACTTGGACCATCATGTATTTCGCTACTTAGTCGAGTAGTAACTCATCGAACGGCTACAACAGCAGCATCGTTAGCTTCATCACCAAACACATCTGAATCGCATACAAATGAGCAAAAGCCAAAATTGAAGGAAAAAGTTGTTCGAACAGATACAAAACCTCGAACATCAAATTCATTTGTTTTAAATTTATATCGTGGTCAATTTCAGCCAGATGAATTATTTCCATATCCTAATGTACTTAATGAAGAACAAAAGGATAATGTCAAAATGCTTATTGATCCAATATGGAAATTTTTTGAAGAAAAGAATGATGCAGCTAAAAATGATATGATTGAAAAAGTAATAAAAAAAAAATTGTTTTTTTTTTTCAGTTTTTCTTTAAAATAATTCTATTGGTTCTTTCTTGTTCATTCAGATTCCAGATGAAGTCATGAATGGTTTGAAAGAACAAGGTGTATTTGGTATTCAAGTACCTGTTGAATTAGGTGGTCTTGGTTTAACAAATGCACAAGCAGCACGTCTTATTGAAATTGTTACTGGTCATGATCTTGCTATTTCAATTTGTGTTGGAGCTCATCAATCTATTGGTTTTAAAGGCATTCTTCTATTTGGTACGGATGCACAAAAACAAAAATATCTACCAAAATTAGCTGCTGGTGAACATATTGCAGCATTTGCTTTAACTGAACCAGCAGGTATGTATTTTGTTTTTCAAAAAATTTAAATTCAATTTTCTTTTTTTGTGTTCTTTTGTATACTTCAGCTGGTAGTGATGCTATTTCAATAAAAACTAAAGCTGAACTTTCACCTGATGGTAAACATTATGTTTTAAATGGTTCAAAAATTTGGATATCTAATGGTGGTATTGCTGATATATTTACAGTATTTGCACAAATACCTACTGCTGATGATAAGACAGGTCAAGTCGAAAGTAAAATGACAGCTTTTATTGTTGAAAGAAAATTTGGTGGTGTTACGAATGGACCAGCAGAAAAAAAGATGGGTATTAAAGGATCAAATACAACTGAAGTGTTTTTTGAAGATTGTAAAGTTCCTGTTGAAAATGTACTTGGTGGTGTTGGAAATGGATTTAAAGTAACACAAAAAAAAACAACAACAAATGATAAAAATAAAATATTTTTGATTTTATTCAATATTATTTTTTCTAGGTTGCTATGAATATTTTAAATAATGGTCGATTTGGTATGGTAGTTGGTTTATCAGGTACAATGAAGATGGCTATTCGAAAATCGATTGTAAGTTTCTATGATAAATGAAAAAAAAAAGCAACAAAAAAGTAATATTTAATAGGATTTTGCTAAAAATCGTCGTCAATTTGGTCGTACAATTGATACATATGGTAATGTTCAAGAAAAACTTGTACGAATGGCAATGAGACAATATGTTACTGAAAGTCTTGGATTTCTTTTGGCACAAAATATGGATCGTGGAATACCTGAATATCAATGTAATGAAAATTTTTTGTTTTTGCTTATTTTTTTTTTGTTTTAGTAAATTCATATTTTAAATTGTAGGTGAAGCAGCTATTGGAAAAATTTTTGCATCTGAATCAGCATGGTATGTACTTGATGAAGCAATACAAATTCATGGTGGAATGGGTTTTATGAGAAGCTCTGGTCTTGAACGCGTTTTACGTGATTTACGCGTCTTTCGTATATTCGAAGGTGCAAATGATATTCTACGTTTATTTGTTGCTTTTACTGGTTTACAATATGTTGGTTCACATTTACGTGAATTACAAAATGCTGTTAAAAGTTTTAATTTAAATGCTATTGTTGGTGAAGGTTCAAAACGTTTACGTCGAAATATTGGTATGTCAACAGGTCCAAATGTAAATGAATATATACATTCACCACTTCATCCATCTGGTTTACTTTTATCAAAATCAATTAATCGTTTTGGTTCAACAATAGAACAAATTCTTATGAAATATGGTAAAACAATACGTGATGAACAATTTATTGTTCATCGTATTGGTGATATTACAATTGATTTATTTACAATGGCAGCTAGTTTATCACGTTGTACACATTCATTTAAAAATCAAGTACCTACAGCTATACATGAATCAAATTTAGTTCGAATATGGTGTGAAGAAGCATATGATAGAATTAATAATAATATTAATCTTATTCAAAATCCTGAATTTATTGCAAGAACAAAATTAATGGCACAATTAGCTCGAGAAATGGTTGATAAAGAATCAACTGTACCTGTTCATCCATTAGGTTTTTAAATCGTATCATTGATATGTGTCATTTTTGTTCGATATTTGTTCTTATTTCGATTAAATATAGCGTGGCAATGAAAATGAAAGTTTATTTTACTACTAACTTGATCAGATTCATGATATAAATCATTGTATACTGTTCAGGTAGTAGATAAAAGAAAGAATATAATAAAAATTTCGAAACTATAAATCAGTATAAAAAGATATAAAATTGATTACCGAGTATGAAGAGAAAGATTGTTTAGAATCACAGAATCAATTAAATATTTTAAAAAAAATATTATTAATAGTATCAATAACAAGAATGTAAATAAGTTAAAAGAGATCGATATGATTTGAAAGAATGTCAAGTTCAGCTAAGAAGAATTTTCTTTTTTTACAAGTTTGGAACATCAATGATTTATGTGATTCTGTTCTTGATGGTTGAATAGATTGTTATTCTTTGACAAGATGTATAGTAAATGTTCGACTAAAATATTTAATGAGAAAGAACTGATTGAATGAATATATTCAGAAAATATTTGTCAATTTACTCAATAGATATTCTACACAGTATAAATTTTATTTGAATAAAGTCAAAAGTTTCGTTGATAGAAAACAATGTGAATCTTCTAGAGTTTAATTTAGCGACAAATGATATGATGAGAAAATGCAATTTATATTTTATATAAGTATCCTTCTAGGAAGCTCTCTAACTGATAAATCACTTTTGAATCGAGACTATGTTCATAATGTAGAGCTAAATGAGTTATGAATACCCTACAAAGACTTCGTATCTTTGGCTTATTATTGCAGAGATACTGCACTTTTATGGAATGTTTGAAATGAATGCCGTGATTCAGAAAAGCTGATTTTTGTATTTCGGCTTGAAACATTGCAGAGGGACAAGTATTAACGAGAGTAGTTTCAGATCTTTTGATTTGTTTCTATCCTGAAATAAGAACATCAAATCTACCAGTTTATATGAGCTGTGTAAACGATATGCTCTTAGCATAGTTGTATCTTGGGATAGGAATAGCGACAAGATCTGAACCATTCACAAGAAACTATTCTCGTTTAGGACTATCTTTATGCAAATTTTCAAGTTGAAATTCGAAAATCAGTTTTTTCTGGACCATGACATTCATTTAAAAAATATCTTAAAAATGCAGTATCTGCGCGGCAATAAACTAAAGACACGAATTCTTTTCGCGATTTTCACCGCTTCTTTGAGTCTACATAATGAAAATAGTCTCGATTCGAAAGCAATTTATCAGTTGGAGGACTTCCCTCATTAAACAGATTTCATTTTTAATTAGACACAAAACTACGAAATAATTTTCATTTCTTTTAAGAGAACATAACATGTAAGTAGACAGAATATTGATTTCCATTTATTCATATTCTCATGTATGCACAAATGATTTCTTCTGCATCGACATCAGTAAATAATATTCGAAAATATGTATATGAACAAACAAATCAACATATTAATTTTTTGAGCAGCATATTTTGAGAGAAGATATTCATTATTCTACCACTGGGAATACATAAGCTATAAAGTTATTCATTGTTTTTGGATGGAACATAATTGAACAAAACTTCATAGTATAATATATTCATAGTTGGCATATCATCTATGAGTTTGGTTCAATTCGAAGACAAACATTAACTGCTCAAATAAACTAAACATCCTTTCTTCTTTTTAGTTGGAGCTTGATAAGGTAAACTAGGCTTCAATTAAAGTTAAACATCAATGAATAGAAAACATTAGAACCCTGCAAAGTCAAATTTTTTCGACTCTGCAATTTTTTTTACTGGCATATACAGTGGCTTCATTTTTTCGCAATAATCACTTGTGAAAATCAATCTAGTCTAGATGCTTTCTTTTGTTTTTCTGTTTCATGTTATTTGGTTATTGGATTGCCAGTTGTCGTTTACTAGACATTACAATTGTTAATAATAAGTGCTATATAAGAAAAGAATGAAATAGGATTTTTGGAGTCGGATTCAGGACTTTAAAAAATATCTAATATTAAGGTGAATTAGATATTTGATAAATAGACTAACTCAATGTTAAAAACTGATAAATTTAAGACGTACATTATTCGCATCAAATTCCCAGATAATGAATACATTCATAATAAAAACCATCTATTATAAAGTCTTTGTTTTATATTCACTCGTTTATCCTATTTTGTATGAGAATCTTTATTGATATTTCTTTGTAAAAGACCGTATATGTTTATTACTATAAAAATGAAACGACTTTAAAGGTTGTAATCTAAAAAAAAATAGATAAATCAATTATTACGAATGCGCAAGTTTCAATTGAGAGACAAAATATGTTTTATCTCTGATGCAGACTTAATCTACTATAATCAACAAATGTTTAATACAACTTCTTTTTTTGCTTCTTATTGCGTAACATGTTTCTAGTAGTTTCACTAGATCATTGTAAATAATTGATTGTAATCAAAGGTAAGAGTTCAAGATAAAGGACGAAATTCTTCAAGTATGCAAGTGTATTAAGTACAGATTCAATACATCATTAAATAGTTTTATCATTTTCCATCTGTATATTCTTCGTCATGATAATTGATTTTTTAAATAACTAACCACTCATTGAAATTGAAAAAAAATCATTACTTATTCGATTGCATGTAAAATAGATTTCTATTAAAAATACATACAACATTCAATAGATGAAACTACATAGAATATGCATAATCAATTGAATCTTAACTTTATTGATACTATTTATAACCATGTTTCCTATTCATGGATCCCATTTTCAAGGTGGAACTGTCAGTTACAAAGTCATAGGTACTAATGGATAACAATTAATTATTTGCTTTACACAAATATATACTTATATCTATCCGATAATCTATTGTAACAATACTTATATTGCTAATCAGCAGAGTTTGATGTTTTCTCCTTTTGGAAATGCAACAGCAATGCTTATTTGTATTGCTAATTGTTCAACATGTGAGGGTTATACACCGATATCCATTGCGTCGAAAGTACTGATTATTCAGCTAGAATATCAATAACGATTGGACAACGAACTGACGATACTTTACTGTTGCTTATAAAGGAAATGCTTTTCGTACTCTTAGTTTACCAAGGTGGTGATGGATCAAACCAAAATTGAAGTATGTCAACTCTGATCGATTTACGTATATGATTTGATAGTAGATACAGCAGCCGACCGTTGGCTACTATGATCTCTCCTATTTATATTGCTGTTGATGTTCAACAAACAATATCAATACCAACAATTGATGCTGATCATGATGAAGTTCGATGTCATTTTGCTAGTGGTGGTAGTGTTTGTCCACCAAATTCACTACCAAATAGTACAACTATTTCATATAATTGTACATTTACTATCATAGGTACTCAATAGAGTGATTGGCATGCTATTACTATTCAGGTATTTCATATGAAATGCATTATTTCAATTTCTTCTTGAAAATTAGAAATTGAATATCGATGTAAGAGTTTCTTTTCCTTTTGTTTCAAAAAATATATATCGAAGCGAATTTTATTCTTTTTGAATAAATAATTTTTAAAATTTATAATTAATAAGCTCTTCTGGTTGAAAGATATGAACATTATCATACTTTGACATAGTTCTATTTCAAATATATTAGGCTGAAGATTTTGCACATTCGATAACTACAACATATTATAGCACAGTTCTTTATCCATGTCTATGTTCAACCTAATTGCACTCAGCGACTCTATTCGCATGGTCCAACTCTCGAGGATACATGCACTGACGAACAAGTTGAAATATCATACACGCTGGAGTTGATTGCAGAAAACTACTGTTCTAGTTATGACGTTAAGATGATAGAAATAGCTACTCAATCATTTTCGATTGTTATAAAATCGCCAATTATTCAAAATACGAGCACTTTATGATTAGTAACTCTTACATAGACACTAACAGCAAACGAAGTTGGCTCAGGAACACTTTTTTCAGTTGGTATTGAATAGTTAAATAAAATTTTTTGTTGAAAAATTCATTGCATATATATCATTTGTTTGTTTTAATAGTCAAAGTGTACAAACGAATCAATATTGTCTTAACTTCACCGTGGGTAACGAAACTTTGAGAACATGTCCTGGAGTAGAAATAACTACTAATAAGTAAGACTCATTTCAATTATTTATATAGACATAAAAAATATTATTTGTCTGTTCAGAATGATTACAGAATCATTAACAACAGAATCTTCAACGTAAGTTTTCTTATCATTTCATCAGAAATGAAGACAAAAATTCAGAATTATTACTTATTTCAAAAAGAAGAACCATGAGTATTTTTTGAATAACTCTAGATACGAATATAATACTGAACTAATCAGATTAGTTCTTGGTGGACATTTTAAAAACGATACTGTGAACCTATTTTTCAGTTGACCTTGATTATTGATTTGATCAGTAGATAGGAAAAGTTGTTCCCTTTCAATCTACGGAAGACTGCCATTGCTAGCTTGTTTCATTCAAGAACTATTAGGGCTCTCTTGAGACCTTCGGTTTCAGCCAATTGGTCTGTGGCTACCTAAAAAAGCATCTAGACATAGGTAATTCACTACGTTGAATGAACAGATAAACAAATTCAAGGAAAACGATGTCAGACACTTTTCAATGTCTTTCATTCCTGAATATTTTCATCTCAGAGAAATCAAAGCTTCACCCTGGTTAGAATTATATAGACAGTTCTTTCGAAAAAAGAAAAATTTTGACTCCCTACATCCTCGAGAGAAGATCATAGGAACTTCGAAAAAAGAATTTTTCTAACAAAATCGGATAATAATCATTCATATCGATAAAGCATGGGACTCTAACCACAGCCATATGATTGAAATTCATTATTAGTGGTATGGGAGTTGATCTCTCGATGTGATACATTTGCCAGACTCTCTAATTCTCCATTAAAAGTGTGCTCTATATACTACTAAATAATAGTTGATAACGAATTTCGATCTTATGGCTGTGATCAGGATCCCATG